ATCCAGTAGTGTGTGTAAAATCTCCATTGTCCCACTTTCTCATGAGAGAGAGATGACTGATGGTGGTTTAACCTGAGGGTCACCACACCTCAGTTGAGGGGAAAGGTTGAGAAGGAAATTCCTTCAAAAGATTGAGACCACACTGTTGGCGTCACTCTGCATTGCAAACCAACTGTCCAGCCAACTGAGCTAAGCAACCCCAGAGTAGTAAATGAGCATGAGTGAGTAAAGATGGCTAAATAAGTGGCTGAGGAATGGATGGCTGAGTAGCATCACAGAATCATAGAACGCCCAAAGTGCAGAAAAAAGTCCATTTCGCCCATCAAGACTACACTGACTCTCCAAAGAGCATCCCACCCAGACTCACCTGTGTGTGTGTGTGTGTGTGTGTGTGTGTGTGTGTGCGCGCGCGAGAGAGAGACACGCTGTGCCTTTGTGTGTGTCTGTGAGAGAGAGACTGTGTGACACTGTGTGTACATGTGTATGTGTGTGTGTGTGTGTGTGTGCGCGTGTGTGTGCGCGTGAGAGATTGTGTGTGTGTGCGGGCGCATGTGTGTGTGAGAGAGAGAGAAACATGCTGTGTGTTTGTATATGTGTACATATGTGTGTACACGCGCACATGTGTATGTTTGAGAGAGAGAGGCACACTATGTGTTTCTGTGTGTGTGTCTGTGAGAGAGAGACTCTGTGTGTGAGACTGTGTGTACCTGTGGGTGGGTGGGTGTTTGTGTGTGTTTGTGTGTGTGTATATGCACGTGTGTACTTGTGTGTGTGTGTGTGTGTGTGTGAGTATGTGCGTGTAAGTACAAGAGAGAGAGACTCTGTGTGTGTGTTTGCTTATGTGTGCGTGTGAGAGACAGAGACTTTGTGTGTGTGTGTGTGTGTGAGAGAGAGAGAGAGACTGTGTCTGTCTGTGTGTGTGTTTGTATGTATGAGAGAGAGACTGTGTGTGAGAGAGACTCTGTATGTGTGTGTGTGTGGGGAGCAGTGATGGGACAGCTTTTGTGAGCAGCTGGTGAAGAGGAGAGTGGGAGTGAAAAGGTTTGGGAAATAGTGGGGTGGTAGTTGGATCAGCAGCTGGGGATCAAGTGGGGCACAAGTGAGCAACTGGGTCTGGACAGAGGTGGGCAGTCAGGTCAGAGTGGGGTTGGGCAGTCAGGTCAGAGTGGGGGCGGGCAGTCAGGTCAGTGTGGGTGTTGGGCAGTCCAGTGGAGGTGTGGACATAGAGTTTTGTTGGGGTGGGGAGATAAGTTGTTGAGTCAGGGTGGTGACAGGCAGTTTGTCAGCGCGGGGTTTGAGCAGTCAGGTTGAGGTGAGGGTGGCCAGGTGGGTAATTGGTTTGTTGGGCCAGTTGGTTTGAAGGAGAGGGTAGTTGGTTCAGAGGGTGCTATTTGGGATGGGACATGTGTGAGGGATGGTATTATGGATTTCGGGCCCCTCTGTTCCACAACACTCCTCAGGACCCTACCATTTACTGCATGAGTCATACCTCGGTTTGACTTTCCAAAGTGCAACACCTCAGACTTTTCTATATTGAATTACATTTGCCAATCCTCAGCCCACTTCCCCGTCTGATCAAGATCCCCCTGTAATTTTTGATAACCTTCTTCATTATCAATGATGTCTCCTAATTTTTTATCATCCGCAAACTTGTCCTGTAATGTCATCAGCTCAGAACATAACACACCGAAATCTATAATACCAACCCTCACACTTGTCCCATCCCAAATAGCACCATCTGTACCAACTAACCTCTCCTTCAAACCAATTGCCCCAACAAACCAATTACCCACCTGTCAATTCAACTGGCCACCCTCATCTCAATAAATGTATGTTTTGCTGTTTGTTTAGTGCTGGTCAATCACTACAACATAGTCACACAAGGCTGCAAGTGTTCTTGAAGAAATTTATTGCATAAAAGAAAATAAACAAGCTCCCCATATAAGAAAGAGAGAGATTTTAACATACACAGCAAAACAAGGTTTCAACCTCCTTCCCAACATTACCTGTTCACAAATACTCAGTTCCAGCAAAATCCCTCTAAACCTTTCTTATCCATGAACTTGTCCAAATGCCTTTTAAATGTTGTAAATGTAACTGCACCTACCACTTCCTCTAGCAGTTTATTCCATATACGCACCACCTTCTGTGTGAGAAAGTTACCCCTCAGGACCCTTTTAAAAGCTTTCTCCTCTCACCTTTAAAAAAATGTCCTCTGGATTTGAACACTGCTACCTTAGGGAAAAGATCTTTGCTGTTCACCTTACCTGTGCACGTCATGATTTCATAAACCTCTATAAGGTCACCCCTCAACCTCCTGCGCTCCAGTGACAAAGTCCCAGCCTATCCAGCCTCTCCTTATAACTCAAACTTTCCAGTCCCAGTAACATCCTTATAAATCTCTTCTGAACCCTCTCCAATTGAATAATACCCTTCCTATAACAGCTCGACCAGAACAGTGCAAGTACTGCAAAAGTGGCCTCACTAACATCCTGTACAACCATAACATTACATCCCAACTCCTGTACTCAATGATCTGAGAAATGAAGGCAAGCATTACAAATGCCTTCTTTACCACACTGTCTATCTGTGATGCCATTTTCGAGGAACTATGTGCCTGAATCCCTAGGTTTCTGTAACCCTAGCTCCACAGGACTTCAGATGCTGCAAGCCAGGAATTACCCTTCACACAAAAACAAAATTCCACGACAAATTGAGCATGTCTGATAGCATCTATGTAGAGAAAACCCTTTCAGATTTCCAGCATCTGCAGTTCTTTGTTTTAGTACCCTTCATACTCTGGGGCTATACACTGTTATCCTGAAGGAAATGGCCTGGAAAAGCAACTTACTGGCTTGGTTTGCTGACAGGGTCTTGGACTTGATGGTGGACAAGGTAGTGGATGGAAGACCAGTGCTTTTTCTAGGGTATTGAAATCAGCCAGCCTGGGCTGAGCTAGTAGCCAGGGTCAGTGACAAGTCTCCACAATGCATAGCAGTGCAGGAAGAAGGACAATGACCTTCCCTGGTCCTGACAGATTAGCACTATCACCTTCTCTAACACTCACAGAGCCAGCACTCGCTCTAATTCTGCTGCTGTACACCAAGGCTGATAGACTACAGCTCTCACTAAGGCATATGCCTCAAATCCATCCAACAACTCTCACCCACCTCATCCTCACAAACTACAGATTATTCCTGCCCTCTGTACTTCTACCTCACCAACTGGGAACACCTTAATGCCTCTCATGCTCCTCCATCACAAATTGGCTGATCTTCCATTCGTCTGCAACATATTCAATCAGTCTGTGAGTTTCATTGCAGGAAGACTTGTTATAACCCCTGGGACAGATGTCTCCACAGCACTGTGGCCAACATACCTGCAATCCCAGGGCTGGTTCTACCTGCCCTGCAGGACAGACAGCGGTCAAGCCACTTGACTGACGAAGGTGGTACCTCTAACTGACTGTACTTGCCCCTATCCCTCTGAATACTGGTCCCCTTTGTCTTTCACAAATGGCTGTTTGGTTGAAGCACATGTATTGTGTTACACAATTAAGCTGCAGGTGCATTCTCTAATGTGGATGTAGCAAGGTTCTATACAACAACACATCCATCCTCTAAACAGCCAAACCGTGACCAGTGGCCTGCCTCACCCAGGCGCTAAAAGTCAATGCAAGCCACAAAGGTTAGCAGCCTCCAGTTGAGTGTAATGTGAGTGAGTGCTAAGCAAGTAAGCTAAGAGACATAACATGTGTCCTGTAAAGCTGAAAGTTATGCATGTGTACCCCTGCACAAAGAAACAGCCTGCAGAAATGTGCAAGTCCCTGCTCTCTAAACTGAATTCCCAAAGCACTGAAGTGGGGTGTGAGTTGGTCCAAAAGCAGTCATGATGAATTGCTGAGGCTGGTGGTTTTTGACAATGCCAAATTGCATGAACAAAGGATGCTGGAGGATGGTGCCTACAGATATTATGATGAGGGCGTCATCATCATTGTCGTGACCATCATCATGGAGAAGCAAGCAACAGGCCGCTATCCTCAGGTAACCGCTCTGAATTGCATGTCAGGAATTTGGGATGTCTAGGGAAGGATGGGAGATTTGGGAGCTACAAAGAAATGAGGTGAGATGGGCCAATAACGGGATGCAAATGCTGGAAATACGTAAATTGCCACTCAGCAAGATTCTGAACTCATCATTTAAGGAGCAATTGGAAATGTTTTCTCTTGACGTCAAAAATCTGTTTACTTTTTCAGTTTTGCTGTATTTTCTCAACTTTCTCACCAGTGACAACACCACTAATAGGAGAGGAAAATTCCACCCATGGTGTCCCTGACTGCACAGATCACAAACCAACAAACTGCATATTTCCACTTCTCAGACGATTGCCTTGCACGTCTGAGGGTCGAAACTCCTGATGGGTCTCAACGTATAACAGTGGTAAATGTCTCAGCATTCACCATTACTGACATCTGTAGGTTCACCAATCTTTACAGGCATCCTGAAATTTGTACTCATTTATAAATTACTGGTATTTGTATTTTGTAAAGAAAAATGTAATTTGTATTTGTAAAGTAAACAAGGAATGTGTCACTTTTTACAGAGAGAGACCCCAGAGATTTTTCACTATTTACAGGAAGACCCCTGGGGCAGGGAAATATTTACAAATAGTGCCCAGGAGAATCTCAACATTTCTAATAGGCATCAACCTTGCCTTAGCTTTTTGACTGCTACAAGCATCGACATAAATTTCTAATCTTTTATAGTTTTTTTTTTCAATTTATACCATTTTACAGATCTTTCTTAAACAAAAATGTTTCTTTACTCCTTTTCAGTTTGGTTTACTTATTTCATTTTCCTGTTGTGGAGTGTGAAAAAGAAGTACTTTTTTGTCCATTCTGGATGTTGGGAAATGCAAAATCTGGGCAGGACGTGATCTCAGATCCTTTGCTCAGAAACGGGAAAGAGGTTTGCCAGGAAATTTCCTGCCTTAGAGTGAGAGAACCGTGGCTGCACATCCCAACGTTGCTCACCGAGCAGAGAACAGACAAGAGGCTCAATGAAATTCATCTTACTGTGTGGTAGGTTCACGAAAAAAAGGCCATATTTCTTTACAATAAGCTCTGGCAGCTATCTTTATATGCTCATTTGTTTTTAAGCAGGCAAATTGTGAGAGAAGGGAAAGGCAAGAGGAGAATCCTTCTCTTTTGTTTGACACAGGGGCCCATGCTGAATGAAGTTTCCATATATTTTAATTGTACCACATTAACAGCCAGACTTTCATCTCTCCCAATTCTAAACTCTATGATTCCTGTCTAATCTTCTCAGCCTCTCGACTTCTATCTCTCCTTAAAGACATTCCTCAAAATTTATCTCTTTAACCAAGCTTTTGCTCCTGATACCCACTTACGTCAAATTTAGTTTGATAAAACTTCTGGGAGCCGCCTAAGTTAAAGGTGCTAAAATTTAATCTTTTTGTTGCTGCCAGTGTGTCTTGAAACACTGTCATGGTTTATTAAGAGTTAGAATTAACTAACTGTGGTGAAATAAAAGCGAATGAAACGGTGTGAAGGGTGATAATTTCTTTGAGCAGGAGATTTTGCTGTAAGTTTGATACGTCAGTTAATACTGTGCGGGAAGGAGAAGCTGGTTTAATATTCTACTGATGTGCTAAACTCAAAAGATAGCATGGGGAAGGGAGATTTCCACTGGGTGCTAAGTGTTTGTGGCATTGTAAACAGTAGGAGGATTTTCTACATTTTCAGTTGTAAATTGTTCGGATTGTTCTCTTCAGAGCAGAGAAGGTCAAAGGTAGATCTAATAGAGGTTTAATAGATTTAAAATGATGAGGAGTGTTAATAAAGTAAATAATGAAAAATTGTTTTCCACTGACAGACATGCCAACAACCAGAGAATACAGATTTAACGTAATTGGTAAAGAACCATACGGGACTTGAGGACAATTTTTATGGTCAGAAAAGCACAGACAGAAAAAAGACAACGGTAGCAGATTCAAACATCACTTTTAAAATGGAATTGGATACATGAATGAGATAGCTAAAATAGTTACAGGGCTGTAGGGATTGGGCAGAAACTGATTGGTTAGATCTTTCAAAGAGACAGCACAGGTACAATGGGCCAAATGGCCACCTTCTGTACTGTTGGATTCCACGATTCTCAGCAAGGTCACAAAGCAATTCTAAAGGCACGGTTTGACGCTTTTGTTGGAAAACAGGATTGCAGGAAATCCTCCCATCATGTCAACAGAACATAGTGATTAAAGCAAATCTTCCCTCCCTGGTGACTCCAACTTTCATGAGAACAACAATGTAGATTGCTACAGCTAGACATCCAATGATATGGCAATAAAACCACAAATTTATCGCATCCAGAGTGACATTGCTTTGCAGGCATATCGGCAGTCATAGACAGTCAACGTGCTTCAAGAGTAATTCATCTTGTGAAGCACTTTGAGTATTTTGGGTGTGATTTAAAAAATGTGTTCAGTTAATATGTGGGTCATTGCTTTATTTACTGCATTAGAGCAATCAGTACTGAACTGCAGGAGGGCTGCACTGTCAGAGATGTAGCCATTCAGATGGGATGGCTCATGTTTATTCCTCAAACGTAGCACATTGTTTGAATACCATATCATTGCTGTTTGCGAAATCTTTTGCTGTTCTATTGTACACTTAAAAAAACGAAAAATATTCACTGGATGTGGAACTCATTGGGATAAAATGATGCGCTGTTATACGTTCCTTCTACACTTGGGAACTAAATCTTTGTTTCTTTCTGTTCTCATATGGATGAAAGCAAGGCCTGAGTTTGTTGCCTGTCTCTAATTGCCCATGAACTGAGTGACTTGTTAACCAATTTCAGTGATTGGTTAAAAGTGAACCAAATTACTGTGGATCTGGAGTCACCTATAGGCTGGACCACATAAGGATGTCAGATTTCCTTTTCTCAAGGACTTTTTTTTATTATTGATTTGATTTTTTAAAAATTTGATTGATTATGGTCACATGTACCTAGGTACAGTGAAAAGTTTTGCTTCCCGTGCAGAATAGGCAGATCATACCATACAAAGTGCATTAGGTTAACAGAACAGAGTGAGGAATACAATGTTACGGATGCAGAGAAGGTGCACAAAGAGGGAGATCAGCATTAAATTTTAAATTTGAGAGGTCAATTCAGAAATCTAATAACAGCTGGGGAGGAACTGTTCTTGAATCTGTTGGTATGTGCTTTTAGGCAATCGTATCTTCTGTCCTATCGAAGAGTTTGGAAGATATTATAACTGGGATGGGAGGGGTCTTTGATGATGTTGGCTGCCTTCCTGAAGTAGCAAGAAATATAGATGGAGTCAAAGGATGAAGGTTGGCTTGTGTGATGAACTGGGTTACTTCACAATTCTCTGCAGTTTCTTACAGTCCTGGGCAGAGCAGTTGCCATACCAAGCTGTGATGCATCTGGATAGAATGCTTTCAATGATGTATATATAAAACTTGGTAAGCATCTTTATGGACATGCTGAATTTCTGTAGCCTCCTGAGGAAGTAGAGGCATTGTTGTGCATTTTTGACTGTGCTATGAAGGTGCTGGTGTTGGACTGGCATGGACAAAGTCAGAAATCACATGACACCAGGTTATAGTCACAAGCTTTTGGACGCTGCTCCTTTATCAGGCGATGAACCTGAGTAGTTAGTTAGAGGTTCGTTCAGTAAGAGTTTAGAAGGGTGAGAGGGAATTTGATTGAAACATGTAAAACTCTAGCAGGTGTGGAGAGACTAGATGCAGCGAGGGTGTTTCCACTGAATGGAGAGTCCAGAACCAGAAGTCACAGACCTTTTATTTTAATTCATTCATTTTTGTGGGATGTGGGCATCACTGGCTGGCCAGCATTTATTGCCCATCCCTAGCTGCCCTTGAGAAGGTGAGGGTGGTCTGTCTTCTTGAACCGCTGCAACGCCATTAGAGAGGTAATTCCAGGATCTTGTCCCAGCGACGGTGAAGGAATGACAATATATTTCCAAGTCAGGATGGTGAGTGGCTTGGAGGGGATTTTGAAGACAGTGGTGTTCTCATATATCTGCTATCCTTGTCCTTCTAGATGGAAGTGGTTGTGGTCTTAGGTTATTGGGTAGGCCATTTAGAGCTAAGCTGAGGAAACATTTCTTCACTCAGAGGGTGGTCAGTCTGTGGAATTCGCTACAACAGAAGGGTGTGAAAATATTCAAAAAGGAATAGATTTTTCTTAGATATGACAAGTATCAAGGGGTTTGGATGTAAAATGGGAATATGGCATTGAGATAGAAGATCAGCCATGGTCACATTGCAGGGCTCAGAAGAATCAAAGGGCTTAATGACCCCTTCCTTCTCCTAGCTTCTAATTTCAATGATAATAGGCTGTAAAGTGTTTTGTGATGTGCCAAAGGAAATGTATGGCTAGTAAACAATGCACTTTCTTTCTAACTTACATATTCTGTTACATGCACATAATAACAAGGGAGATTATTTGAAATAAAAAGGAATGTCAGCCATTGAAATTGACATTTTTAAGCTTAGGAAATAAATTCATGAAAATGATCCAGCAAAAAATGGTAGTATCCCAGAGGGTTTAAAATTCAATGGAGATGAGCTAAAATGAGGAATCTCACAAAAGTTGAAGACAGGCACAATATTTCTTTTGAAAGACTGTCAGAGTTTCAGAATTAGATAACAGAGAAGGGTATTGAAGCAGATGATGTGACCATTTTCCACAAACAATTGAAAACATTTCTGAAAAGAAGGGATTAAGAGATGCCAGGATCAAGAGGGTTGATCTATTGGGAAGGTGTTGGCTTGCTTGGACGTTCTTCTTGTTTTGATAAAATATTTCTGTTCCTGTACACTGGGTGTTCTCCGTGATCACAAAGTACATCTGTCTTCCTCATTGTTGGACATTAATTTCTCTCAGTGGCTTTAATCCACTCTCCTAAATCCGCACCACAGCCTCTGGACTTGGCAAGGGCTCCTGGACTCACTCCAACTTACAGCTCGGAAGAGCTACCCGATGATGAATGAGGGGAAAAAAATGTTGAATGGAAACAAGATTGAGCAGTGAAGGCTGGTCTAGTTCTGGAGAACTGAAGTGGAAAAGGGGACTAGTGTTGAATAACGGGGAGATGACAGTTTAGGAGTATTATCACCGGACTATTAATCCAGAGACCCAGGTAATGCTCTGGGGACCCAGGTTCAAATCCTGTCAAGGCAGACGATGGAATTTGAATTCAACAGAATTCTGGAATTAAGACTCCAATAATGACTGTGAATCCATTGCCAATTGTCAGGAAAACCCCATCTGTTTCACTAATGCCCTTTAGGGGAGAAAACTGCCTTCCTTACCTGGTCTGGCCTACATGTGGACTCCAGACCCACAGCAATGTGGTTGACACTGAACTGCTTTCTGAGCAATTAGGGATGGGCAATAAATCCTGCCTAGTTGGTAATGCCCTCATCCCATGAATAAAAGAAGTCCCAATTCGGATCGTCCAGTCACTGCTGAAAGAATTCTTGGGATACTACAACGGGCTTCAGTGTTCCTGGGCTAGAAAAAAAAATAGAATAACACAAAGAACTGTGCATGCTGGTGAGTTTCACCAGTAATTTCTATTTCTGCTTTAGAAAAGAATTAACTTGTGTTTATATAATGCTATCCAAGGCCACTGGGAATCTCAAAGCATTTTGCAACCAATTAATTATTTTTTAAGTGTTGTTAATCAGCAAAGAGCAAGATGCCCCCAACCAGCAACATGAAAATGATCAGATTATGTAGTGTTTAAAGGTTAGGGTCAGGATTACGAAAGAACTCCTTACTCTTCTTCAAGGTAGTGCCACACAACCTTTAACATCCACCCATGACAGCAGGTGAAGGTTTAGTCTAGTTTCGCACCAGAAAGACAGTCCTTCAGACAGGCCAACATCTCGTCAAGTATTCCGTTACAATTTCAACTCAGAGTTTGTTTGCCGGAGCAAGACGTGAACCCAGAACCTTGCAACTCAGAAAAGAGCAAGCCAACCAACAGAAGGCAGATGGAGCA